AGCGGAGCTTTGTAAACAGCTCAGAGTAATCACGTAATCTCCTTAAGAACGATATGATTGCCAGAACAAATTTACCAGGATTTTTGAAAAGGTCCTGTTCACACATGACATGATCTCTTAATGGTAACTTACCAGTAAAGACTAAAGGCTAAACTCTTCCTCTGAATATGCTGTGAATTTAAATTGCTTAACGTTCATCTGGGAAAACTGCATTTTCTCACTAGATTTGTAAAGTAAATCATTTATAAACCTTTGCCAACACAGGAGAATACATCATATTTCTAAATATGCCATTTATTGTACATCGCGATTTCAAAATAAACGTTTCTGAGTTTGCATGTGGCCAAATATTAAAATTGAATGGATTTAAACATCGTTTAATCACGCTGTAAAGTGAAACGTCACCAGGCCATTGGCACTCTCTGCAGGTATTTATAATAATACATAATGTACTTAAGTTGGTTATGTTCGTGTTATGTATAGGCATATTACATTATGTATTTTAACAGTGTTGTTCAATACAATCATGTAATTTCTTGGTTTTGATACTTTATTTGAGCCAATTATTAGTGCCTCATCGTTAGTTTATATATAAATAGTCATACTAAAGCCTGGTTTTCACTTGGGTCTGTTTGTTACTAAAAAATATCAGATTACTCAGTTGTCAAAATAATCAGTAGATTACTTTATTACCAAAATAATCATTAGTTACAGCCCTAGATTGGTTCAAATATTTCAAAATACAATTGCATTGTTTTACTTTTTGTAATTAAAAGACAATTATTTTGTCATTGAAAATTTCTTAAAAATAGTATTAAAACATTGTCTCATTCTAGTGAACCAAGTATCTGTATTTTGTCTCATCTCGTGAGCTAAGTGTATTGTCACACCCCTAGTGTCGATAAGTGGTGATATAGCTCATAATTTTCCAAGTGTATGATATAGCTTTCATTCTTCAAGTCAACTACAATTGCATTGTTTTACTTTTTGTAATTAAAAGACAATTATTTTGTCATTGAAAATTTCTTAAAAATAGTATTAAAACATTCTCATTCTAGTGAACCAAGTATCTGTATTTTGTCTCATCTGGTGAGCTAAGTGTATTGTCACACCCCTAGTGTCGATAAGTGGTGATATAGCTCATAATTTTCCAAGTGTATGATATAGCTTTCATTCTTCAGGTCAACCATATATTCATGAAAAAAAAACAGTTTGATTAAGGAAAGCAATAACTTTGCCAAAGTATCCGTTCAAATGTTAAAGTTGCCACAGTCATTGCATGCTTTGCATGTGCTGCCTGCCCCCGGAAAAAAGTTCAGGCTCAGGATTTTTTTTTGCTTTAACCCCTGTGCAAAAACATTATTTTTGAAGAAAAAGTACATTATATATTAAAATGTTAAAAAATTAAAACAATGGCATGTAGCCAGTTTAGTCACATTAACAGTACAATGTATATTATTGACTGATGTTGTTACTTCTGCAGTACTGCTGAATGTTCCTCTAAATTTAGTGCATATATGATCTATTGTCCCTCAGTAATTGCAATGCACGGGACAAAAAGCCCGTTGCTTAGAGTCCATTAACCGAAGCTGCGCCTCTTTATTCACTCAAGTGTCCTCACCCCCTCTACAGTGCGTTGTGTCATTTCTTCCTCTAACATCCTCAGGTTTCGCATAAAATTATGCCATTCAGTTGAGCTTTATTCTTCTTGTTGCTTCCATTTGAATATGTTGCTGCTTTACTTCACATTCCACTCATCTCCTCCAAATAGCCAAATTGCATTTTCTGTTGGTCTGTTAAGAAAATCTGTTCTTTTATTTGTATTGCTTTGTAAAACAGACCATCAGAAAGTGCGTTTACACTTTGACATGAGGTCATTGTTTACTACAGTAACTAATTGCTAAAGATTAGCTTGTTATGCTGGTGAAGTTTCTTTGTTAACTTTAGCACTATATTTTGTATTTCTTTATGTATACTGACCTTGTTTTTTTACCTCCTTTTTTTCCTCCTATTTCTCTCCCTCCCCGTTCCCCTCATCCCATTGCT